GTCAGATGCAACGCGGAGAGAGGAGAGTATGTGATCAAACTGTGTCTCAAATAAATCGAGAAAACAACAAAATATTGTGTGTGATCTGTCACGACACAAAGTGGCGACCCTGCCAGGACACGGACTTAGGTGACTGCGAGTTTATCAAGCCAACGGATGTCAGAGATCGTGAGTTTTGAGCCGAATCAAGCCAAGGATTAATCAAGTAAACCCCGGGAGTAAACAAACATGGAGACATTGGCGAAGTTGGATAAATTCATAGAAGGCAAATTAAAGCTGTTAGCTTTCACCTCCGAAGAAACAGCAAGAATTGTTCAAGAAGGGGATGTGAAAGCGATGGATAGGCARGCGAAAGCATTGGAGAGGAGTATAGACAAAATTCACGAAATTAAACTCCAAATACAAGAGATAAAGATCGAAGGTGATTGGGAGCCAAACGAGGTTAGAAAGTGGTCGGAGGAGCTCGAAGCTAAGCTTAGTAAGTATGAGAAGGAATTTAAAACTATCAAGAACRAAGTGACCGAAGTAGAGAGCAAAGAAAAGGAGAAAATTGAGCAAGAAAWACGCCAGCGTGTTTTCGAAGATGAATTGAAGCTACAGGAGGTCAAATTACAGCGTCAGTTCGAGATGGAGAAACAATACAAAGAGGTTACAGATTCCTCGTCTAAGCCAGGGAGTTTTAGCCGTGCCAAGCTACCTAAGCTGGTCATAACGCCTTYCCAGGGAACTCATCTCGACTGGATGCGGTTYTKGAGTCAATTTGAAACAGAAATCGACAAGTCAGAGGTTAGCCAAGTCACTAAGTTTTCATATCTCAAAGAGTTAATTATTCCCAAGGTCAGGGGCTTGATAGACGGTCTCCCTTACACAACAGAGGGCTATGAACGGGCCAAGAGCGTGCTGAAATCCAAATATGGGAAACCAAGTGAGGTATCAAATGCGCACATGCAGTGTATCATTTCATTGCCGGTTATTCCAGGGAATGGGCCCTCCAAAATCCATGAGTTCTATGAGAATTTGGTTGCTCATGTTCAAGTACTGGAGACTATGGGTAAACTTAAGGAGATAAACGGATATGTGAGGCTTACACTGGATAAACTTCCAGGCATTAGAGCAGATTTAGTAAGATTAGATGATAACTGGCAAGAGTGGGGTTTTCCTCAACTAGTAGAATCCTTGCACAAGTGGTGTGAGCGCAACCCTATAACCCTCGACCGTAAGGCGCCTATCCCTACACCTGAGCAYGGTTTACGGAAGTCACCTCAAAAGCGAGAAAGGGTATTTCAAACTAAGGAAGAAACGAGCAAGATTATCACATGTGTCTATTGTGAGTCGGGTCAACACAAGTCTGTAGATTGTGATCAGGTGAAAGGTGTCCAAGAGAGAAAGAAATCCTTAGCTGCAAAGAAGCTGTGCTTCAATTGTACTGGCGCAAAGCATAGAGCGGCAGATTGTCGCAGCAAGCACAAGTGCCAAAGGTGTGAGGGCAAGCATCACACGTCTATCTGCGACAAACAGCCCGGATCGAACATGATGATAGCGGCTGGGGAGGTTAGCGTGACTTATCCTGTAGTCGTGGTCCTTGTAGATGGCATAAAATGCAGAGCGCTACTAGACACTGGGGCAGGCAGCTCGTACGCGTCAGCTGCACTGCTCGAGCGCCTTAACAAACGGCCTTTGCGTAGTGAATACAAGAGAATTGATATGATGATGCACTCAACCACTCAACGTATAGATGTTTACAACGTGAAGGTGCAAAGCATCGATGGAAGGTTCGAGATGTCAACACTTGTGAGTAAAGTTGACAAGGGAGCCCTTCTTATGCTACCAAACCCAAGGTACGCTGAGATTATCAAAAGCTACAGCCACCTGAAAGGGGTCATCATGGAGGATGACGACACAAAGAGCGAGTTGCCTGTACACCTGATTCTTGGTGCAAGCGAGTACTCACGCATTAAAACCGAAGAAAAGCCAAGGCTGGGACGTTCCGGAGAGCCAGTTGCTGAGCGTACYGCTCTAGGATGGACAATTATGTCACCGGGTAAAGAAATGGCCCTCGGAAACATGCTTTTTGCACGTWCATCTCTAGCAGACTACGAGCAGCTTTGTAATATCGACGTCTTGGGACTTGAAGACAGACCAGAAGGTGATCAGAGCTTAGTTTACGAAGAGTTCAAGGAGCAACTGAGCCGCAACCAAGAAGGGTGGTATGAAACAGGGTTGCTATGGAAACAGAACCACGACACCCTTCCAAGCAACGAGAAAGGAAGCATAAAGCGTCTTCAAAACCTGCTAAAGAAACTTCAGAAGAATCCAGATSTGATGGAGAAGTATGATGACGTGATCCAAGATCAGCTACGTCAAGGAATTGTAGAAGCGGTTCCTGAAACTCCAGCGGCAAAGGAGTTCTATATTCCACATAAGCCGGTAGTGAGAGAAACAGCCGAGACTACGAAAGTGAGGGTAGTCTATGACGCATCAGCCAAAGAAACCGAAAGCAGTCCCTCGTTAAACGAGTGCTTAGAGACCRGTCCCCCTCTCCAGAATYTACTGTGGAACGTCCTCGTGAGAAGTCGGTTCAAGCCCGTTGCATTAGCCGGGGACATCAAGCAAGCCTTTCTGCAAGTTCGCATACGCCACGAAGACAGAGACGTTCTGCGATTCCACTGGATCAAAGACGGAAATCCTGACGCCGTCACCGTTCTGAGATTTACGAGAGCAATGTTTGGTCTTGTGCAGTCTCCCTTTCTTCTTGCAGGTACACTACAGCGGCATCTTGRTAGCCTCGAAGACAAGTATCCCAGGGAAGTACAAGAAATCAAGAGAAGTCTTTATGTAGACGACATAATTACAGGGGGAGAAACCTCGCACGAAGTCACAGAGTTGAAAGAGACCACGAAATCCATCTTTGGCGAAGCGGGTTTTGAGCTGCACAAGTGGCACTCTAACGATCCAATGCTGGAAGAGGAAGATGGCCATCAGAAAGGCGAAAGTCAGAGCTTTGCAAAGCAGCAGCTGGGAGTAAAACCAGGAGAGACCAAGGTCTTAGGATTGACTTGGAACAAGGAAAAGGACACCATCGCAGTGACGTTCCCAGAGAGACCTCAAGACACGACTAAAAGAGAGATGTTGAGGTTCCTTGCCTCGATCTACGACCCCTTGGCTCGATCTACGACCCCTTGGGTGTGGTAGCACCAGTAACCCTTGTGGGCAAACTTATCTACCGAGAGGTGTGTGATCAACGGAAGGCATGGGAAGAGAAACTATCCAGTGAAATGGTGAAGCGATGGCTCAAATTCGCTAGCAACCTGCCAGAGAGAGCTGAGACACCTCGCAGCTTAGCAGTCTTTCAAGAGCCTATCCAGTCGATTGACCTCCACGTTTTTGGAGACACAAGTGGACAAGGTACATCAGCGGTGGTGTATGCAGTTGTTTCTCAGAACTCTGGTACCTTCAGTGGATTGGTATGCGGGAAAGCCCGTCTAGCAAAGAAGAGTCTTACAATCCCGAGGTTGGAACTTGTTTCTGCACACATGGCAGCCAACCTGGTGGACAATGTGAGAACAGCTCTAGAAGATCTTCCAGTAAAGTCAGTCTACGGATGGCTTGACAGTACAGTCGCTCTATACTGGATCAAGGGCAAAGGTTCCTACAAGCAGTTTGTCACTAACAGAGTCAACAAGATAAACGCTAAGTGCTACATCACTTGGAGACATGTTGGTACCGAAGACAACCCAGCCGATATTGGAAGCCGTGGATGCAGTCCTGAAAGACTTCACCCAACGTGGAAGAAGGGACCAGACTGGTTAACTCAGAAAGATCAGTGGCCTGAGGACAAAACTCTAGAACCAAGCGAGGAGACTGAGACTGAGACAAAGCAGACGAGAGAAGTGTTTGGAGCAGCTGTCGTCACCGAGGACGAGATGGACGAAATGTTAAAGAAACATTCCTATTGGAAGGCCGTCCGTATAACCACTTGGATTCGGCGGTTCGCGAAGAACAGTCGTCTGAAAAGAACCGAGCGAGTGTCTGGGCCTCTGAAAGCTAAAGAAACACAGTTTCAAGTCAAATGGTGGATAAGGAGAGAACAAGAAAGGTACAGCCAAACGGAAAGGTTCAAGGAAGACCAACTTCGGCTCAACCTACGAAAGAACCCGGACGGGGTCTACGAATGCCGAGGAAGAATCCAGGGAAGCTATCCAACCTACATTCCCCCAAGGACACTGTTGGCAGAAAGGATGGTCCAAGATGCCCATCTCCTGACCCTGCACGTGGGAGTGGGTCTAACTATGTCATTTGTTAGACAAACTTACTGGATTCCACAGCTGAGGTACCTGACAAAAGGAGTAGTAAACAAGTGCTATGGTTGTAAAAGGTTCCACACAACAGCATTCCAGAGGCCCCCACCTGGAAACCTACCAACAGACCGAACAGAGGGATCAGTTCCATTCCAAACGGTGGGCGTGGACTACGCTGGACCCATAATGTACAAGATGACAACTAAGAGGGAGGGTAGGGCGTATATCCTTCTTTTCACCTGCAGTCTAACAAGAGCCGTACATATCGAGTTGCTGTCCGACCAGAGTACAGAGGGATTCATCACAGCTTTGAAGCGGTTCATAGCTCGTCGAGGAAGACCCTGCAAGATATACTCAGATAATGGGAGGAGTTTTGTCGGAGCGGAGCGGTGGCTGCGAAAGATCATGGAAGATGAGAAGGCCCAAAACTACCTAGCACATCAATCCATAGTGTGGCAGTTCAACCTAAGTAGAGCCCCATGGTGGGGTGGGCAGTTTGAGAGGTTAGTGGGCATCGTTAAACAAGCAT